TTATCCTCCACATCCTGAAACCCAGGAAGAAAATTTTCATGCTGAAGACTTTAGGAAGCTTGATGAGCTGCTGTGAGCTAAACAAATCTAGCAGCTGCTAATTGTTTATTTTTCCATTTGGCTGGATAAATTTTATTTTTGAAAATGTCAATCTCAGTTATTCGTAGCAGGTGCTTAACTCCAGGTCCCTGCAGCTGTTGTTGGTTAAGTTGATTTGTCAATCTTCAGTCTTAAAATAAATCAGAATATTTTGAGGCTGTGACTGAGAAAGATGTTGAAGATCATCTTTTTGTCTGAAGTTTTGTATCTCTTGTGAATATTTTTATCCTGCTTGCTTTATTAAAAATAGTCATAAATTCGGGGGCTCTTCATATATTTGGCTTGATCAATCATGTATCTTCACCAAGAACCACAAATAAGGCTAGGTGTCATCCTTTCATGGGAAGGAAGTTCATAAAGGGGGAGATTGTTAGAATTTAGTCCTTAAACTAAAAAATAGTTTAAGGACTCATAAAGGAATATGCCTTGAGTAAAACTACGGTGTCCTGAAGGAATAGTGTTTAGGTGTAATCATTCTTAGAAGCTCAGAATTAGGAGGAAATTGAAAATAATCTGTGCAATCAACTATGAATCTATTGGTGAGAATCTCATAGTTTAGTGGAGACAAACATAAAAATTATTAGCTTTCATTACAATGATTTATTTTGATCTATGGATTATATTGTTGTTGTTGATTGCTTTGAGGCGAGCACAACTCATAGTGACCCTATGAACAAAAGGCCTGAAGCCCCTCTGCAACTATTGACATTTATCAAAGTTCATATAGTTTCCAGAGGCCTGTTCTTTAGGAAGTGGATGGCACTAATTTCTAAATACTTAAGATTTTTCTGGACAGTTTACTGTTTTCTAATTGAATTAATTATGATTAGAGAGCTTGAAATTTCAGCCCTTTGAAATTTTTAAAACAAATTTTTTAATATTGATTTGCATACAAAATTAGTATACATTGTGTTCCGTACTATGCTTCATTTGCTTTGTGTTTCATACAATCATTCCCATTCATTGTATTTTATAAAATTAATCACCATTGGACTATGCCCACCATTACTCTGTCTTTCCAGATCCCTGCCAGATCTTTCCCATTTCCTTTACCTGCTTTCTACCCACCAAATTGTGTCACCCTTTGATTTACACCCTGCTCACCCCCACCCGTCTACTCTCACTCCATGCCCTCTTGGCTCTCCATACGTGTTTTACTTGTTATCCTTCTGTTTTTACAGTGAGGATTGTATGCAGTATTTGTCCTTAGCCTGAGTTAGCTCACTCAGCATAATGCTCCCTAGTCTCTCCCAAGTTACTTGGGAGCCCTTTGGAATTTGATTCTTATTTTGTGGTTCAGCTAATGACCTCTCATGGTGAATGTACTATGTTGGCAGTTTCTGCAATAAAGGAATTAATCACAAATTTTGTAACTCAGTTTTATAAGGACAAAAAAAGTTCATCAAGTAGTGTCTTAATCCATCATCCCTGAAATGGAAGTTTAGATAATAGTTTTGAATTAATTCTAGAAGAGAGTAATTATACTACTGCTACGATATTGTTGTTGTTGTTATGTGCCATCGAGTTACTTGTGACTCATGGTGACCCTGTGTACAACCGCTCTGAATCCTGCTCTATCTTGTGCCAACCTCATTGTCTCTGACATACCTACCCCTTAACCCCAATCACTGAGTCAGTCCATCTCATCCAGGGTCTTCCTTCTTGCACTGTCCCTCTACCCTTCCAAGCATGATGTCCTTCTCTAAGGACTGGTCCCTTCTTGCAACATGCCCAAAGTATGTCACACAGAGAGCTTCAGGATCCTTGCCTCCAAGAATCAGCCTGGTTTCACCCTTTCCAGGATGAATCTGTTTGTTCTCCTAGCAGTCCATGGTATATTCAGTACTCTTCAGCACCACAACTCATAGGCATTGATTATTTTTCTATCATCCTTAGTCATTGTCCAGGTCTCTGATGCATAGTAAGTAATTGTGAAGATCATGGCCTGGATTAGGCACATATTAGTGGCTAGAATGACATCATGCTTTTCAGTACTCTGGAGAGGGCCCTGCCAGTAGACTTTCCCAACACAATTTGTCTTTTGGTTTCCTGGTTGCTGATACCAAGAGTGTTGATTGTGGAGCCAACCAAGCTGAAGTTGTTAACAATCTCAGTTTCTTCACCATCTTATGATGCTGCCAGTTGGCCAAGTGGTGAGAATCTTCGTCTTCTTGATGTTGAGCTTCAATTCATATTGAAGGCTGCAGTCCTTGACATTCTGCAGCAAAAGCCTCAGGTCCTCATCAGTTTTGGCAAGGAAGGTTGTGTCATCTGCTTAACACAGGTTTTGCTGAGTCTTCCTCCAGTCCTGATTCCACGTTACTCTTCATAAAGTCCAACCTCCTGGGATGATCTGTTCTGCACATAGGTTGAAAAGATACGGAGGTAGTTTTCATCCCTGGAGTATCCCCTTTCCCAATTTTGAACTATGCAGTGTTTTCTTGCTCTGTTATGATGACTGTCTCCTGGTACAAGTATAGGTTTCACATAAGCCCAATTAAGTGTTCTGGGATTCCCATTCTTCTTAGAGTTAGCTATATTTTGTTATGAGCCACACAGTCAAACACCTTTTCATAATCAATGAAACATAGATAGACATTCTTTTGGTACTCTCAGCTACTATACTCATCATCTATTTATAATAAAAAAAGATTGTAAGTATTTATATATATTTATAGATCTTCATAAACTTTAGATTCTTATGCATGACAGAGACAGCTCTGGTGGTAGTTCAAATCACCAACTGCTTTATGGGAGATAGATGGGCAGTCACTTCCCATATAATTTACTTGCTCTGAAAAGCTGTTGGAGGGTCAGCTATGAGTTGGTTCTGACTCAGTGGCACATAGCAACAATAATCACTAGAAGAAGATATTGAACCAAGTCCTTGTGATATAAAATGAGTTATGCATGCTCACCGATTCCAGGTACTTAAGATGTGGTGAAACTATAAAGGGAAGACTTGATGGACATTGACCTCACTAACTTCTGAAAGCCAAGTTAAATGTCTTTGTGCAGTTATTTAGTGTAATTGTTATGGGTAAAACCTGCATGTAGAAATAAAAAAGGAATTTCAAGTTTTGGTGCAGTTGAAGTTATTAATTACCGCAGGGTTTTTGGCATTTGACAGGTCTGCCTGACCAGTTCAGTGAGATGGCTTTCCTGAGAGTGAAGGCCATACCTGGTTTGTTCTTGTTTCTAGATGTCAGAATGGGTTTGCTCAGAAATACTGATTATTTTGATTAACAGTTTGTCTTTAAAATCTTTGGATTCGTTTCCTGTCTTAAGCAGTGTTGTTAGATGCTACCAAATTGTTCAAACTCAGAATCAACAGAATGAAAAATTCTGGTCCATCCGTACAGTTGTTGTTATGCTCAAGTGCACTGTCCATCTCCTTTTCTTCAATCTTCTGCTTTACGAAGCATGATGTCCTTTTCCAGGGATTATTCCTCCTGATAACATGCCCAAAGTATGCAGGATGAAGTCTTATATGTCTTTGTCTCTGAGTTGCATGTCTTCTAACTTCGCGTCTTTTAAGATAGATTTGTTTATTCTTTGGCATTTTCTAGTATAGTGAATATTCTTTGCCAATTCATAATTAAAAGACATTAATTCTTCTTTGGTCTTCCCTTATTCATTGTGCGATTTTCACATGTGTGTGAAGCAATTACAAATAGAATGACTTGGGTCACTTTTCAAAATTATGTCCCTTAAAGAGATCTTTGTAACAGATTGCCCAAAGCAGTATGTCTCTCTAAGTACTCTTTAAAAAAAAATTCATGTAATAAAACCTTTATAGAATGTTTTGGTTTTATGCATTGTGCTTTATACAATATTTCATTGATGTTGTGTGTGTCATACAATCATTCATATGCATTCTGTTATATGTTATTTTTAATTCTAGTTTATTTACAAAATTTGAATACATTGTTTTCATACCACATCCTTCCCATTTCCCTCCTCTATCAAATTTTGTGACCTCATGATTAATGTCCCTCACCTGCACATCCTCACCCCTCTGCTTCCACCCCCCCCAGATCTTCATACTCATTCTACAATAATGGTTTTATCATAAGTACTCTAACAAATTAAAAACAAAATCATAGAAGACTAGGAATTATATGAATACTACAAAAGTTTTCTGATGGGGTGCTCTGGTGGCCTAGTGGCAAGGAGCTGCGACTACAATCCCAGAGGCGAACGGTTCGAATCCACCAGATGCTCTGCCGGGGAAGGATGGACAATCTCCTCCTGTACCAGTCAGATCTAATTTGATGGTACACGCACACAAAAATAATAAAATTTAAAAAAAAAGTTTTCTGATAATTGTTTAAGCAAGAGAGTTTTTATTTCTATTCTTTGTGCAGTTATGATTTGGTTGCAGCTGAAAGGTTTAAAAGTAAAGAAATAGTTTAGCGCTTTTTCTTAGTTATTAAAGTGCAGTCAGTACTCCAGGAAAAAGAGAGTTGACCAGCGTGACCAGGAGAAGGATTTGAGGAAGAGATCTGATAATGTTAATTGTGAACATGTTCAGTGTTTTGAGGTTCTCATAAATCACTAATGAGAAATTGTTAATACATCATCTTGATGTGGTTCAGGCCAAGGAAGGAGTAATAAATTGAGGTACAGAGGTTTCATCACTTCACTTACTCACCCACTCACTGATTGCCATCAGGTGAGAACCAACTCCTGGCTGACTCTTCACAAATTTTTAGAAGCAATGAAACACCTTAGAGGGGATTGCCCAGTTTTCTCCTGCAGAGCAGTTGGTGGATTAGAATCTGCTGCTTTTGGGATTGCAGCCCAACTCCTGACTCCCTGAAAGGTAGAAAAGAGCATGCAGAAGTCTGAGAACCTCATGTAATACAGTCTGTTGCTTGCCATCTCTTTGTCTAACCCAGAACTTTTTAGAAAAATCAACTGAGAGAGAAACTCGCCAAGAATATGCTCTGGCTATGATTCAGTGCAAAGTCCTGAAACAGCTGGAGAACTTGGAGCAGCAGAAGTATGATGATGAAGATATCAGTGAAGATATAAAATTTCTTTTGGAAAAACTTGGTGAGAGTGTCCAGGATCTTAGGTATGCCACTGTCTTTAACTCTCCCAGACTAGTTTTGTGAACTTTGTTGACTAATATTTTAAGAAAATCTGGTTTTGTTACCAATTTTAAAAACCAAAGAATTTCGCTAAAATGTTATACTTTTGTATTAAAAATTGGAAAATCTAGCAAAACTGACTCATAATTGAGTTGGCACCAACTCATAGCTGATCCTCCAGTGAGTTTTCAGTCTGGAAATCCAAGAGAGGAGACTGTCCATCCTTCTCCCTCATAGCAGTTGGTGGATTTGAATTGCCTGCACTCCTTGTCCATTCTACATCTAACCAGTTCTGAGTCATTAAAAAAAAAAGCAAAGCCCATGGTGATTAGTCTTGATGTATGTATGTAGAGTCTCTGTGATTTCAAGTTGCTTTGACAGCGCCTAACCACAATTGCTCTAAAAGGAATCTTAAGGCAAGGTTTACCTCTCAAATGGTTTCAGGATTAGGTTTTCATCTTGAGTAGAACTGGTCAGATTTTAGATAACAGAAAACGGTGATGTTCACTCTTAAAAAGAAAACACACAGTGGTAGCCAGTAGTTGCCTTTTAAGAATGATAGGAAGTTCTGGTGGCTTAGTGGATAAGGAATTGTGCTGTCAACTTAAAAGCACACAGGTTCAAATCTACTAGGTGCCCTGAGGGTGAAAGATGGTCAGCCTCCTCCCTTGTGAATGACAGACTCTGAAAATTCACTGGAGGGTAAACTATGAGTTAGTACCAACTCGATGGCAATGATGAATCAGTTTTCCTAAGAACTGACCCCTCCTGAAAACATGGCCAAAGTATGTGAGATAGTTTCACTATCATTATGTCTAACGAGTACTTTGATTACATTTCCTCCAAAACAGACTGTGTTTGTTCTTTTGCAAGCCATGAGATAATCTTTCCCAGCATCACAATTCAGAGGCCTCCATTTTTCTTCTTTCATCTTTATTCATTGTCCAACTTTTCAGATTTATAGACAGTATTTGAAAATACCATGGCTTGAATCAGATATACCTTAGTCTTTAAACTGACATTACTGCTGAACTAGACTATCAGATATTTTTGTTGACTTGCACTTATGTAAATGTTAAGGATTATGAAAGCTTCTTTTAATATCTTATACCAAACATTTAATTTTCATAGGAGTTTTGACACTTTCAATCTTAATTAAATTTTACATGCTTTCTTAAAAATTATTTAAGCTGTTTATTAAACTATTTTTAGTTGTACTTTGTTACTATACAAAGGATCAGAGTCTCTGTAAACAAATAATTATTTAAGATGTTAGAGTTTGTTCAATTTTGGAGAAACTGTCATGTTTTTATAAACTTTAATTCTTTAAATATTTTACAGCTCATTTGATGAGTACAGTTCAGAACTTAAATCTGGAAGGTTGGAGTGGAGTCCTGTGCACAAATCTGAGAAATTTTGGCGAGAGAATGCTGTGAGGTTAAATGAGAAGAACTATGAGCTCTTGAAGTAAGTTATAAATTATATTTTATAACCACACACTTGTTCTGTATCCATACCAGTAGTTGTTTGTGTCATTCCTTAGATTTTCTATAGTTTTACTTTGTATTTTCTTGATGATTAGTTAATATTAGGTACCATTTCATATGCTGATTAGTCATTTGATATCTTTTCTGGGGGAAGTGCCTATTCTTCTTTTTTCATTTATAGATGTTCTGTTATGCATCTCCAGCACAAGCCCTTAATATATATATTGGGTTTTTTTTATATGTATCATTGAGTTAGAACTGACTTATAACTAACTGATCCTCCAGCAAGTTTTCAGAGGCAGTAAATTACTTGTAGCCATCCTGCGATTGGTTTCTAAGGCTCTGAATCTTTATGGGAGGAGAATGCCTGTGTTTCTCCCTCGGGGAAGCTGATGAATTAAAATTCTTAGAGAGGGACATCATGCTTGGTAGGGTGGAGGGACAGCGCAGGAGGGGAAGGCCCTGTATGAGGTGGATTGATTCAGTGACTGGGGTAATTGGGATGGGTGTATCAGAGACAGTGCGATTGGCACAGGACAGAGCAGAATTTAGGGCTGTTGTACATAGGGTCCCTATGAGTCACAAGTGACTCGATGGCACATAATAACAACAACAGTCATGCATTATTATGCATGATGTGCCACATTCGTTCCTTATGGAATGAAATAAGTACCAGGGTTCATTTCCCCCCTTTTCACATATCTAATTGACCAAGAACGATTAATTGAAAAAGCACCTTTTCTCTAGTGCTCCGGAGTTACTTTGCCCTGGAAAGGTGACCATATTTGGATATGTGACTTTCTCCCTCCTCTCCTCCATTTTTCCTTCCTTCCTTTTCTTTCACTGAGCTTCAATTCACATACCAGCCAATTTACCCCATGTATACACATAAAAGTTACGTAGTGGGTAAAGGAAGACCAAGGAAGAATAGATGCCTTTGAATTATGGCATTGACAATGAGTATTGAGTATTCCACTGACCGCCAAAAGAACAAATAAATCTGTGTTGGAGGAAGTGCAATCAAAGTACTCCTTAGAGGCAAGAATGATGAAAGTTTGCATCACAACTTTGGACATGTTGTCAGGAAGCGCCAGTCCTTGGGGGAAAAAAAATCAAAACCTATAATGCTGAGAAAGGCAGAAGGTCAGAAAAGGACAAGAGGACTCTAAATAAGATGGATTGACACAGTGACTGCCATGTGGTCCTGGGGATGGCCTGGATTGTAAAGATGGTCGAAGATAGGGCAGAGTTTCCCCTCTACTGTTCGTAGGATCACTATGATTCATATTTGCCTTGAGGACACCAGAAAACTGCAATGCTAATAAAATTCCTTCTTCAGTCATGCCTACTTCTGGGAGGCCATTGTAAAGAGTTATTGGTAAAGTTGTGCATCAGGACTCTTCTGGCAAAGTTTGCATTTGTTTGACTGTAGTGGGAATAGAGTGTGGTTTCCTGAAACAGTTGTATCTTAGAAAAAAGCAGTGTCTTCCTAGGGTATATAGTTCAGTCAGCATTAGGGTTCAAGGAGCTGTTATTAGAAAAGGCAGATTTTAAAATCCAGCATGGATTCTAGGCTATCGTCAAAGCTTTAAAAAAGGATTTAATCTCCACTTTCAGATTTTTCTATTTATATGCACAAAGTGCTTCTGATTTTTTTTTTTTGAGGTGGGAGGGAGATAGAAATATTTATTTTTTGTCAATCTTTTGAATGCAACTACTATCATTTTTCAGATTTAATTCAGTAGCAAACTTGATCAATAACACTTTCAGGAGTTCATAACTTCAAGGCTAAGGTTCAGATTCAGATAATATGGTTATTAAAGTAGTATAAATAAAGTTTTTTAAAAAATGCTAAAAGCAATCTGATCACTTAAAGGAAAATATAAATGACTGAGTCTCTAGACCTTGTAATGTAAGTACACTTAGTAGTATAAGTACTATAACAGTGAAAGAGAGAGAAAAGTCTCAACTGAAGATCAAAATAAGCATAGGCATTTACGTATGCATGTTTCAGTCATTAGCATGGTGGTATGAACAAGGCAGTGTGGCAGGCACTAGCATACAGAAGAGCACTGGCTTTGTTGAGGGCGGCAGAGGCAGTGGTAGCAGGCACAGGGTGGGGTCTCCCTGGAGGCACCTTACTCTTCTCCTCCACAGAGCAGCAGGAGGGCTCTCTTAAAGTCTCTGGATGTGTCATCCTTGATCATGGAATAAAGAGAGGTGGCAAAATTTTTCCTGAGCTCCTTCCTTGTGTTAAACAGATCAGTCTCACTCTTGGAAACCATGACTCTGATGAGGGTGTGGTCATCTGTCCCAGCTCTCTTCATAACATAGTAGAGGATTTCTGCAAAGTAGGCTGGTATACTTTGAATAGATTTTACAACAGGAAGGAGTATTGCTTCAAGTTACCAGAAGTCTCTTGATCAGTGACTTCCTCAATTTGAAATCCTGATTTGGTCATGTATTTGTCAAACACCTTTCTTAAATGAGACACACTTCCTGTTCCAAAGATAGTGATAAATTTTTCTTCAGTTGTCCCCCATTTGTGCTCCCCAGTTTGAAACAAAACCTGAGCATCTTCTTCAACCTGAGCTTCATGAATTCTAGCGTCAGGGTATCGATTATCCTGCAGGAGAACCACCAGTGTCCTGTGGTAGTGTCTGGAGGTAGCGCTCACCACATCATCTTCCAGGCTTGAGCCATATTTTTGTTTATGAATTTCTTTTATGGCTGTTAGTTCTCCAGGTGTCCTTGAAGCAATAATTTTTGTCAGGACTTTCTTATCTGTCTTAGCTCTGTTGAGAGTATATTGAGAGTATACTTTAGCTTGTAGGCATCATAAAGCTCGGAGGGTGTCATCAGAACCACAATTAACTTCTCAAATTTTCCAGTCAGTTCCGACTTCAGATCATCCAAAGAGATTTTTCAAAAGCTGCAACGATTTCCTGGCGCTGCATGTTACTTCGGGATGTCAGAACAGTTAGAATGGTCTCCTCATCAGTACCCAGGCCTTTCATGGTCTTCCAAAGAGTTTCTGCATTGGCCTGCCCATCATATCCAGGGAGGTCGGTCACTGTGCCTCAGAGAACCTGTGCCATGGTGAATGCTAAGGTCAAGATATGGTGATACAAGACCAGACAGAGCACTTCGAACCTTCTCAGAGCGTCTCATGCTTCTGATTTTAAAGTCTCATACAGAATAAACCACATTTTTACCCCATTCATTCATTGTTATTATTGTTAGATGCCATTGAGTTGAGTACAATTCATCTTGACCCTCTGAATGACAGAGCTGAACTCTATCCTAGTCCTTTATTAGTTGATGGAAATTTGGGTTGTTTCTTCCTTTGACTGTTATTAAGAAGACTGTTAAGAGCATTTGCTTTTGTGTGGGTGTGTGCTTCATTTCTTACAGCATGTAGTAGCATTGTAGTTAGTGGTTTGGAGAGCTGTTAAAGCTGTTTTCCAGAGTAGCCAAGCCATTTTATGTTTATGCATTAGTGTACAAGGTTTCTGGTATCTCTATGTTCTTGCCAACACTAGCTCTTACCTAGTTTTTAATTATAGCCATTCTAGCAGGCATGCAGTTGTATTTATGGTTGAAATAGTTTTGATTTTCATTTCACTGATTACTGATAATGTTGAGTATCTTGTTAGATGTTTTTGTATCTTCTTTAGAGAATTGGATGCTCAGCTACTTGGACCAGTTTTAATTGGTTTGTCTTATTACTGAATTTAAGAGTTTTCAAAAATTCTGAATCTCAGATTAATAAACATCTTAATGAATATCTTGGAACAGTCTCTTCTTGCTGTTGTTTCGTAACTTTTTTCCATTTTGGGGGGCTTATGCATAAAACCCCCCAATCTTTAATGTTATTTCAGTGAGTTGAGGACCAGAAGTGTTACATGAATGAATATATGTTCATTGAAACATCTGTGGGTAGCCATACCTGTGTCTTATGTGTTGCTGAAAATAATAAATTATTTAGAGAAAGTGTGACAAACTAAATCAATGATTGACAGATGCTAGCAAGACTGATGGAAAAATAGTTAAACTTAGTAAAAATAGATACGTGTCTTTCTTGCTCCCTGCTCCTTTTATTTCAATATTCTCTTTGAACTTTGAGTTTCTAACTTTAATAACACAAAAAGAATTAAAATTGGGCTTTTCAAGTCTATTCTTTGGAATATGTGAATATAGTAAGGAAAGCTTTTTGCCAAATGTTATAAAGTATTATATGTATCTTTATAATGACACATGAAATGCACATTTTCTTTTCTAGTCCAAGCTAGCTTGTAATTTTTTTGCTCTTTTGAATTATCCCTTTAACTTTGTATGACATTTTGTTATTTTTCTGAATCACCAGGTGCAATAGTATGGTATTTTAGGCTTCTGTTTTAAATAATGATGAGACATTTGAAGGCATTATTTGTTTTCAGTTTTTATTCCAATCAATTTTCTGCATTAGGGTGATTGATAGGAAGAGCATCTTTGTGTTGCCCTTCATCTAGCGGCTGAAACAGATGCAGGTGAAGTCTTTATTTGATTCTGCTATTTAAAAGGCACAGTGCATACTAGCTTCCTTTTATCTGTAGATAATGGCACTTTTATCAGGCTGTGCTCTGTTTTCCAGATAATTACAAACTTAGCAGGTAATCTTCCCTTACTTGGAATGACACATTTATGACAACAGTAAAAATTATATTGGCCATTTTGCTTGTTACGAAGTACCTCTGGTAGTAGCAGACTCCATGGGGGAAGTGAGAGGAGCTGGCTCTGATAGGGAAGGTCATGTGTCGTCTTGGTTGGGCCGTTACTCTTCCTGATTTGTTAGTTAGGAAATGATAGAATGTGGCAATTCTGTCCATCTACTTGTTTATTGTCTCATTATTTGACATCTCACATTTATGACAAGAGTAAAAAGTCTGCCACCCAGTGATTTTGAGCATTAATGACAGTGTGATTGTAATGAATGCCAGA